TTAATGGTTTTGACACGGTATTTTTCTGCAAAATATATTCTTGATGCAGTGCCATTGTGATGGAAATGCTTGAGTTATGTCTGTGAGCAGCTTCTATACTTGGAAAACAATCTATTTTTGTAATATTTTTTTAAATGATGAATCTATTGGTGACCCCCTGTGGTAGAATGAAAAGATGCTCAAGATGGCACGTGCAACAAACTGTGACTCTTTTTCATTTTGAATAGTCAACTTCAGGTGGTGCTGCTTTTTTAAACTATCAAAGTGATGAAGTTTTAATACGGCTGTTACCCAAAATTACTGTCTCATGAGATGCTTCTCATTTTTGCTCTCTGTAGGTTCGTGCTGTGCGTCCTAAAGTTCTTATGAGGCTGTCAAAAACGAAGAAGCACGTTAGCAGAGCCTACGGTGGTTCCATGTGTGCTAAGTGTGTCCGCGACAGGTGAGCTTAGAGAGACCTGACTTTATTCTTGAGGTTACTTCATATGATATTTTTGCCTCTTGCTGTTTTCATAACGTGGGCCAAAACTTTAAGACTCTTGTCCGACATCGGTGTTTGTAAAATTGTGCCAGCTGAGTGTGGGGCACCTGTGTGCGATTTTTTTGCCCCTTGGATTTGAGCTTGTTACTGCGTGAGGTGCTCCTTTGTCGAGAGCTTGTGTTCTTTGTCATTTCTTACTGCACTGGTGCTTTGGTGCTGAACAGTCTGCTCATTTGGGATTTTTATTCCTTATTCAGCTCCCATAGTAAAGATTTTTCTTCATCTGTCTTATGCAAAGATAATAGGGAAAGATCAATTGAGCTTTTGGCGTCTTTGTGGTGTTTTGGGATTCAAAGGTATGACTTGGTTGCACATTAAGCATCTTTATGTGGTTAAACTTCTGGGCTTCACTGAGTTCAATTTTATTGGATAAGAATTAGTCGTGGTGAACCCCAGCCAGCAACCAGGACCATGCAGCCCCCCACTTGCTACTCTCCCCTCCCAATGGGATAGGGGAGGAGGTTCAGGAAAAAAAGGAAAGCTTGTAGGTTGAGATAAAGACAGTTTAACAGAAGACTAATGAAAGAGAAGATAATAATGATAATGATAAAAGAATATACAAAGTAAGTGATGCTATACAATTGCTCAGCATTCAATGATCCATTGCCCAGTCCATCCTGAGCAGCGATTGCAGATTCCTCTCCCCAGCCAACCCCCATTTATATGCTGAGTATGATGTCTCTGGTACACAATATTCCTTTGGGCAGCTCGTCCTGTCTGTGCTCCCTCTCGGCTTCTACGGGAAGATGAAAGAGTCCTTGACTTAATATAAGCACTACTTAGCAACAGCTAAAACAATATGTATTATCAACATTATTCTCATACTAAATCTAAGCCACAGCATCTACTCGGATGAAAATTATCCCAGCTGGAACCAGCACACAATTGTACATCTTATTCTTCCTTGGCAAGTTTGAGGAAAAAGGTGTATTATAAAGAACCTCATTGCTGTTAGTGGTAATCAAAGCAGATCTCCAGAGTCAGTAGTGTAATTCCAGTTTTTTCATCTGTTGTGCAAATCTTGCCAGCATTTTTTTTTTTTGCTCTTTCAGTGGCATTAGGTGCTGCTGAAGACAGGTTGTTACAGCTGCAGATCCATAGCATAACTTCTGTGTGTTAAAAGCCACTTTTTGTGTTGTTTTCCCAAACACTTTATGAGCTTGGTGGGTTGTTTTTAGTATGTGAGTATGCCTTATTCTGCCTAAACCAAAAAACACACTCGCTTCCTTCCCTGTAATTGACAGGGTTTTTTCCTGCATCTGCTTTTAGTGTATTTGGTGTAGGCTTTGTGTACTGCAATAGTAGCCACATGTGCCAGATAAATATAGAATGTCATATTAATGTTTCAAGGTGGAAGAGTGTGTGGTATATTTGTGCTTTTAACTCGAAATCATCGAATAGACTGTTGGTGTGAGTACTGTCCCTTAGGTCCATCTACACGGTGGCCCTCCATGTCTTCCAGAAATAATCATATTTAGGCGTGATGTGGCCTGCCAGAGTTTTCTCTGTTTATGCACAAAGAAGCTTTTATCCTGAGAAGGGAGCTGTTCTTGCTTTGCAAACTGGACTTGCATAAAGTTTTCTGTGGCTCCAAGGAAGAGATCTGACCACGACTGGTCATGCCAAGTCTGGCTTAAAGAACAGCTTAACTAATTCGCCAGTGAGGAGTTTTGCTTTTTTCCTTTGAAGTTAGTGAAGGTGGTACTTTTTCCAGCGTTCAGCCATCAGGTATTACCATGCCTGCCTACAAGCCACTCACCCTAAATTTGGGGCCTTCTTCCCCAAACTTCTACACTCATGCGGTGCCACTGTCCCTCTCTTTTGATGTTGGTAAGAACAGCAATGGTTTCTCTTCTTAGGGGCTTGTGGAACTAACACCACGTGTGCAATGAATGTTAGAGATGGCAAAACTAATCGTAACTGTCATATTTTTGTGTTTTCAGTTAAGTAGATGCGTGTTGTAAAGTTCTTGTTTTCTCTTTCCAGGATCAAACGAGCTTTTCTTATTGAGGAGCAGAAGATCGTTGTGAAAGTGCTGAAGGCACAAGCACAGAGCCAGAAGTCAAAGTGAATCTATTTGTAGTTTCAGCCCAATAAATGAAAGCTCCACTTTTCTTGTGTCCTGTCATTCCACGTGTTGGTCAAAGCTGGTAGGAGCTGCTCCTCACAGCTTCTGTGATGCAGAACTGGGGTTTGGTGCAACAAAATCTGTAAGTTGGGGGTGCTGTGTTCTGTGCTGCTGGCAGACAGGGAGATCAAGTGGGTGGAAGGAGGCCTGGTTAAACAGAGCTGTCTTGCAGTCCTGCAGAGGGGTTGGAGTAATTTTGAGCAGTGCAGTTTTTTTTCTTTGTGCAACAGCTGTGTGTGATGTCATCAGAGAACTTTGCTCAGAAGAAAGATAGGAATCTGAAAAAACAAACAATGATGGTGACTTAGAACTGGAAGAGACATTGTCAGGTGAAGAAGAGGTGAGCTAGTATGGCCCTAAGGTAGATGTGTTGTTGGTTTGGGGTTTTGGTTGGTTTTTTTTTTAATAGTATGTGCTGTGGTTATTGTTAACTCAAATCTGAGGGTGGAGGGGAATTGTCTGACCTCCAGCTGTTGCATTCTGTTTGATGTCAGGTGTTTCCTGGATCAGCAGGTGGAGGTATGATACAATCAGAGCTCTGGGGCCCAGGTGGGATACATCTTCCAGAATTAGGTGTTGGAGTAGCAGTTCAGTAGTAGCCTCTGGGATTGAAACTTGACTGTTGGATCTTTATCGGAGAGGATGGAAAGGTAGTGTAAAAAGCTATTATAAAAGGTGAAATTGGGTTTGTTTTGCTGTTTTGCTTCGTTCTGTTGTGTAGAGAGAACTGTAAATGGGCCTCTAAAGCACAGGAGTGCTTTAATGTGCTTGGGAATTTCACCCCCAGCTCTGAGTTCTGGAACTTCGTATGATGGGGAGCAGGTATCTATTTTTATTATTTTTAAATTTTTATTATTATTAATTTTATTATTTTTATCAATAACAGACCTTTGGGATTTTTAAATAACTTTTTTTTTTCAAAAAGTAGTGGCTGTAGTAGTGGTTACTCACAGGACTAAGGAAGGAGAAGTAATTACTGAGCACGCAGGCTCGCTGGGAGCAGGGAGGATGCTGTCTGAAGAGGTTTCTGGGGTGACTGCTGAGGTGAGACCTTATCATGCTCCTGAAAGGAGGGTGTAGAGAGGTGGGGGTTGGTCTCTTCTCCCAAGTTCCAGGAGACAGGACAAGAGGAAATGGCCTCAAGTTGTGCCTGGGGAGGTTCAGGTTGGATATTAGGAAAAATTTCACTGAAAGGGTGCTCAGGGAAGTGGTTGAGGGAGATACTCAAAAGACGAACTGTCATGGTGCTTGGGAATATGATTTAGTGTTGGTGTGTGTTGTGTGTTTTGTTTGGTGGGGTGGTTTTTTGTTTTTTTTTTTTGTATGGTTGGACTAGATGATCTTAAAGGTCCCTTCCAACCTAGGCAATGCTGAACAGACCACAGAAAACTGAGTTGGTGGCCAGCCCTGCTGGTGGTACCATGGGTGTTGGTGCCTTCTGGGTCTGATGACAGCAGGTGGCAGCAGTTTGGGATAAATGGCTTAACACTCTGCACCTGGGAAAGGAGCTGCACCTCCAAGAATTTCTTCACAGTGTCCCCAAGTCATTAAAATAATTCTGCCAGCATTCTCAAAACGGATTAATTTTGCAGCGA